CGGTCCTGATCCCGGGCCCGGCGCAGCGCCGCTGGGCGCAGCGCAGCTGCCACGCCGCGCGCAGGGCCGCGCTCATCCCGCCGCTGCCGCCGCGCTCCGACGGCCCGAGCCCCTATCGCTGCCTATTGGTAACGGCGAGGGGCGGCCGCAGCCTTCTATAGGAAAGGCTGCCTGCCAATCAGTGCGTATAACCAATAGTAATAGGAGTTTGCCACCTCCTCCCGCCCACCAAGGTGAGGCCCCCTCGCGTTGCTATTTGCAGAGGGAGCTGCTTTGCCGCGGTGCCACTGGACAAAACACCTGCCATTCCGATCAACTCGGTTAATCCCGCCTCCCGATCCCGGGCCGCTATTGGCCACCCTTTCCCAGTGCCCGGTTTTATCGGGGGGCGGAGCAAGGCGCTCTTTCCGTTTCCGGCTAACGGCGGCGCCGGCAGCGTGTGTCGCTCCGCGGGGCGCTCCGGGCCCTCCGGCTGCCGAGCGCGGGGCTTTGTGCCCGGGAGCGGCCCTGTGCGGCAGGGCTGCGATAGAGCCCAGGGGGAGGGGACTAAAAAAAAAGAAATTAACGTTAAAAGGTTGTTTGAAGCGGCGGGAGGGGCGGCTGCGCAGGCCTTCATGCGTCCGTTGTTGTGGAGAGTTAAACTCCGCGGCAGGAACCCTGTACGAATGGGCCTGAGCTGTAGCAGCAAAGCGTGTGGGCGGGGAGCGAGGCCGTTGAAGGTTGAATGGTTCTCCTGACTCTTTGAGGTCGTTCATCCAGGTCTTTATTTGCCTTAGGGGAATTAACGTGATGGGTGGTACAGTCAAGGGGGTGTCAGTTCTCTGCGTGCTCCAGCTCAGTCCTAGCACCAAAGTAACCGGTACCTTGGAGGAGCTGCCTGGGGGCGGCATGCGGCTGATGGGGGGGAAGCAAAGGTTGGATCGCAGGAGGCCCCCCTGGCCTTGCGCTTAGAGACCAGCAGGAATGTGAGCTATCAGAACGGGGAAGCAGCTGGGGAACATCCTGGAAGTGGCAGTGAGTGCTGCCAGCCTTGTTAGAGCACCTGGGCTGATTGCAGTTCGTGTCCAAGAACTTGGAACACAGCAGAGAAGTCTTCCACAGAAACCAGATCCATGCTGTAAGTAGAGAGAGTTGAAAAGTTTTTATTAAAGCACAAAATCGGTGTTTTTATTTTTTCACAACTGAAGTATATTTCTAAATATTTTTTGTGGCTCTGGCATTTAGATTAATGGCACATGAGTGGCCATTTGTGTTATTTCACATGCATTTGTAAAGAAAAGAAGCTTTTTTTCAGTTGTGCTAATGTGTAGCTTTACAAGCAGTAACACTTTTAATTCAGTATTCAGAAGGCTGTCTTTTCAGCTTCTCATTTTGTGAATCCAGTTGACATTTGAATGGCAAATCAGCTTTCTATTTATATTTAAAGATATTTTTCCTCTTTTTAAGAGTGCTCTGGACAAAAACTTGTGCTGAGAAAAAGTGAGATGTAATTTTAACACTGAATTTCTAAACTCATTTAACTTCAGGCATTGCTTCTGTGATCTCTTACTGCAACTGAAATTAAAAAGAAAGTGTTAAAAATATGCTCTTCATTTCCATGTGAATGGGCTGTGAATGCTTCAGAATATATATGTAGTGTTTGAGAATAGATATACAAAGAAAGGCTTTTTGTTGTGGATCATGAGGTAAAGTTAGTGTGGTATTTAGTAGCCTTTTTTGTTCTCTGTCAGGAGCTGGGCACAATCGGTGCTTATCAAGGCTTAAAGTTATCTTCTGCAGTTCATTTATGGTCACTAACATAGTGCAAGTTGTTCAATATGCATAAAATTAGTATCTGTTTTATACTGTATGCTATTTGAATTCTAAAAGGGAAAAATGATGTTTGCTTTTTGCTGAACTGGTGTGATACCCACAAGCAGAGGCTTGTTATTACCTGTAACAGACCAAGTGAGCTCCTTTCTTTTTGATCAAACAAAAACAGTCCTGCTTTTTAAAGACCCTGGTAAATAAGAAACTAATGAAATGGCAATTAGGTTAAAAGTGAAGTCCTTTCTTTACTAAAAGGCAACTACATATCTTCCATTCAGAAAATGTTGGACTATGAAGAAAACTTCAGGGCATTTACCTTCCCAGATTTCCTTCTGTCTGTTTCTTTGCGGAGATGCTTAGGAAGAACAAGGTGTGAAATGAAGGTGTAAAACTGCAGGGCCCTGGTGAGGTCGAGTTTCGCTGGGCGTTCCGTAGCCTCGTGCAGTTGCCTCCTGCGTGGCCCGAGAGGCGCCCTCGGTGGTCGGTACCGCGGGCGCGCGGCCGCGCAGGGAGAGCACGGAGGAAGCCGAGGCCCGCGCCCCCGAGCACTCGGAGCACGGGTGTGTTGTTCCTCCCACAGCACCGCTGTTGCCACGGGGGTAATGACATGGCCTGTGTCATTATTGATCAGTCAACAGTAAGAGCAACTCTGCAGTCGGATATTGCTCAGCACGTTGAGTGGTGCCTGCTGAGCACTTGAAACTGCTATAAATGTTTGGAATATTCTCCAGAGCATGGATACTGGGTTAAGTACAAGTACTTGACTTTACAGTATAACTATATACTTGCTATAGAGAAACAGCTACTTTCTATCTGATCAAGTCTTCCATCAGTCTAAGCGAAACTTCTTGTATTTTCCAGATAATGACTTAAATCGTCCCTTCAGAAGAAACACTAATGAGACTCCTCACACTTTGCTGATGTTCCTGTTGGAAGAATAATTATCATCTCCTTCTGAAATCAGTAATGAAAGTACTAGTATTCAAACTGTGGTGCTTAAATGTTCAAGATTAGAGTCACAGGTTAGATTACATTCAGTCATTTTGCTGCTGAACAGAGCTGTTGTCAATTGTCAGTCTCAGGTTGTTTCATGGTGTGGAAGAAGAGTTAGACATTTAAGAAGGATGTTGTCAGAAGAACAAAAAAAGCTAATGTTGCTGGTGGGGAAAAAAATTGGTGAAAAGTGTGAGTTTTGTTTTTTATTACAGGTGATGGAAATGAGATAGCTTCATACCCAAACCCGGTATCTATATGTTGTCCTGACTTGTGAGGATGCCCTGAAGTCTGTGTGCCTGAACTTTTGAGCTCTGCTTAGGCAGTTTTTGTTTTCTCTTGAAGGTTTTTAGGGGAATAGTATGAGCTGTTGTTGCTTTGCCTGCCTGGTGAATAATTTGGACATCCTGGCAGGACAATGTCTGGGAGCACCAACTTAGCTTTTAGAGTGCCAACAGCTCTTGACATGTACGTACAGTTTGGGATTGCACTGTTAAAATGCAAGTGGATGCCCAGAATACAGATGCTGAAGAAAGAGTTCTGATATTCAAAATCTGTAGGAATTTATGAAAGCTTGTAAAAGTTGTCCAGTCACGGAAATGTAGAAGTGCTTTGTGGATTTTATTGGTAGAAACTTGAGTCCAATGTGAAATCTAATGATTAAGTCCTTTGCAAGTTTATTTTGCTACTAGGCGGGTAAAGAATTTATATTTTTTGATTTATAGATTCCCAAGGGACTGTTAGCTTGAAAAGAAGAGTTCATGTCATAATTGACTGAGGCAAAGAACAAGCATCAGTTTAGGATAATTTAACTGATAGATGATTTACATGATCCCAGCCAGTTGTTTGAGTAGGTAGTGATATAAATAATATAAGGAATACCTTTGGCAAAAAGTTGTGCTGGCATCCAAGGGCAAGTGTTTGAGCCCTAGATTTAACAATTTGGATGGAATATGATATTCAAATTTGAATGCAGAGTTCTAAACTAAACATTATTTAGACTTGACAGCTCCTAATGTTCTGATCTCTATATATGCTTTTTAGAAATAGATGTTGTGAACGATGGAACTGTGCTGAAGCTGTGTGAGCAGGCACCATCTAGTATAATCCTTGAAATAAATGTGTAAAGTCTTCTGGATAGTTAAGTTTCTTGCAACTGTTCTGTATAACTGGAGTTTTTTTAGAATTATCTGCAAATGCTTGAGACTTTTAAACATGAGAGTGTGACCTCCAGTGGGAGCATCTCCTGTATCTTTGAACTTCAGGAGCTGTGCATGCTAAAAACTTAAGTAGGCGCAAAAAAAGATAGGGCAAATTAAAGAAAGTAAAGTGTAAGATACAATCATTATGTTAAATCTTGAGCCACAGGAAACTAGAGATTGGGATTATAACTGTGTTCATGTCCTTTTCTGTGCATTCACTTTTGATCAATGTTGAAGAGCAGGATCCTGGGCTTGAAACTTAAAATAATTCTTACAAATTGTAACTTAATTGCAAATGCTGGAAGTGTCTTCTGGCCTTTCATGAACTCTGGGAAAACCTCAGGACACTTTCTGCCTTTCCTGTGATCTAGCTAGGGCGGACCAGCAAGATCTGGGTATAGTTATCATAACAGGAGTGTTTGTTGACTTAGCTTGACAGTCAGGAATGGCTAGTTGTTCAGAAGTGGGAAGAGCAGGTTAGTGTGTGTCTGATCTCCACGAGGGGGCCCTGGTAGCTTGGGTATGGCAGCTGAATGTCTGCAAGTGGAAGAGACATCTGCTGAAATGGCAGCCTGTGGTAACTGAATGATTCTTACCTGTTGTTCCTGTGAGTGATTAAATCTGGTTCTGTTCAGCACTTTGGAGTACATTGATCTCTGCCATATAAAAATTAAAGAATAAGAATTTATAGCAAGATATTTAAATCTCATTGAGACAGGCACGGTGTCTTATAAAAACTTCCCTTGAGCTGCATGGCTGTATCTCTGACGGGAGTGCCAACCACGAGGTAGCACATGTGAATCACTTGAAGAAATCTCATACCATTGAATCCCCTGAGCTTTGCACACATCCACCTTTTGTGAAATAGATGGAATTGTTGTAGAGAACCTTAATTATGATTTTGTTAACATTTCTAAATTATGCCACAGTATTTGAATAAAGATTTGAATTTATCACACCCTTCAGTCTTTCAATTCTTTCTAGGATTGTGTTCATGTTTAAATACAAGTCTTTAATTGCACTCTAATCTATGCAGTCTAAATCACATGAATTGCTATTGCTTAATCTTTGCTTAATAAATCTGCAGTAATCTTGTGAGGCGTGGAAGCTCCTCTTTAAAACATGAGTTTTCAGTTCCGAGTGTTTTCAGGAAAAAGACATAGCTAAGCTGTTTTTATTAACATAATGAATGTGAATCTCAGTTATACAGCACTTGTGATTGTGTGGAAGTGATACTTCAAAGTATGAAATGAGGCGTAAAAGAAATTAAACTAAAATTGATCATTAAAATTGGGGGTGTTCTTATTTGTTATATGAAGTGTTTTGAGGGATAAAAGGACCTAGTCTCACTTGTTTACAGATTTTCGTATGGATTTGAATTTCCATGTGGATTGAAGATTTGTCAGGTTTTTAAATCAATTGATTTAAAATACAATTTGAGTTGTATCGATTTAAACTTCCCATGGAACTCGATGTTTTATGTTCTGCTAACTAAAATTTGGGTGAGACGGATATAAAATGAGATGCATTTCAGAAGACAAGTGTGGCTTGGAAATTGAGGATTTGAAACTTCTCTGTTTGAGCTCTGCTCCCTTGAGCCTTGTTCTTCATTTGTACTGCATGATCACAGAAGGCTTTGGGGTTTTATTTGTATTGTTTATGGGTTTATGTATATCCTTCAGGCTCAAAAAAACTTGTCCTGAGCATTTAGAATTTCAACAAGTCTGATCTTTAGATAACTGATTTAAGAACCACCTGTGGAAGAGCAGGTGTGTTGGCAAACTTGCACTTACGATACGTGAGCTACAAGTTCAAGAATAGAGTCTTATCTATTGTGAGAGATTAAAATTCAAGTTCTTAAGGGAAGCTAGCTGTCTGGATATCAGGTGAACTTCAAATTCTCAATACTTTGCTCATTAAAAAAGAAATCTATGCACATAAAATGGGAGTTTGTAGGGATTTTGTGGTATTTTAAATGGTTGTTTTGAAGTAGCAAAACCAGTATCTCCTGAAAATCATGAATTCTTTAATGATCAAAACAACTAATTGATAAAGCAGTCCTGAATGTTTCATAGTGTTTTAATTATCTTAATTACGTTTGTGTGCATGCAGTGTCTCTAATGCTCACGGCTGTATGATGCAAGGGTACAAATTTGGTGGTTAACCATGTGCTTTTAGAGGAGAAACGATCCCATCAGAGGAAGGGCAGCTTCTCCACAAATACTGCACATGCACTTTGTGCAGACTTTCATAAAGCAGAATTGCTCAGAAATGCTCCCAAGTCCTCGTGTTTGCCTTTCAGCCCAGTTTTTGTGGTGCAGGGGCCTGGGCTCTTCTAAGGTTTGAAGTAGCTGCCAGCTCTCACTGCTGGGGACAGCAGGGATTGAGCAATCTCCTTGGTGGTATCTGACAACTTGCAGGATGCAGATGTTAAAACGTGTGACATTTGACTGTAGCACTTGCTGCTTGCTCAAGCACTGTTTTTTGAGCAGTTTGACTTCATGTAAAAATAAAGTCTTATTTTTGACCCATGAGTCAAAAACCTCAAGGAAAAAAATTTTGGAACACCACTTGTGACAGTGGAGTTTTGCATGGCAAAAGCAGATCTCTGAATTATCCATGACTCCTTTCCTTGTTTGTAGTCCTTTTGCTCTTTCTCCAGAGGTTTCGATGCTGGTTTTTTGATTTTTAATTATGGGAGCCCCAAGAAAACAAAATACATTCTAGCAGCTGCTGTCCATTGCTGTGCTTTACTTGGAGGCACTGTTGAGCTGAGGAAATACTGCGCTCTACTTTTATGTCTGCTAATTGTCATGAATGATTTAAGGACCATGCACCAAGGAATGGTTCAAGTTTTTGTGATTTCTCCTCTGACTACACATTTCTAGATACTGGTGCACAGTGCCACTTTTGCCTAGTGTTTCCTACCCTTTAAAAGGCTGGATACAAGCAAATGAAGTGCTTCATAAAGTTGGCATGCCTAGAAGCAGGGAGACTAGCAGAGATGAAAGCATAACTCCAGCGTACCTAGTGTGAGGGGAATTAAAATAGCAAACCTGCATTTATCACTGCATATTATGTTCAAGGACCTGGGGTGACATGAAGCAAGGAGCGTTGAATGTAATCACGATTAATAAAATTCAGGGCATATTTTACTTTAAAGGTTGTGTTTTGCTTTTTATCCAAAGGAGTTGATGTATTTAAATCACATTGTCATCTACTTCTGTAACTTAGAAAACTATATAGGAATAGGAGAAGAGTCAATGTATGTAGCCCAGTCCATTTTTTAACACTGGGACCAGTGAAGATGAATTAAGCAAGTTTACATGCACTTTGGGATAGTGCTGCTGCTGAAAAGAAAGCAAGCAGCAGGATACAAAAATACAAACTCTCAAAAATAAAGGCTTATTAGTATTTATTTACCTCCTGCCTGAATTCCATTGTTCTCAAGAAAGGTTTGGTTTCAGCAGGCGTGCTCAATGTTGTTGGGAATGTTTCCAGTGTGCTGGAGGGCTCCAGTATCATACAAACGAAAACTGTTCCTTTAGAGCATATGTTGCAATCAATATGGTGTGATTTAAGCAAGTGCTGTTCATCTGAAGAATCCTAAAAATGCTTAGATCATGTCACAAACAGCGCTTTGCTTAAAAATGAACAAAGGAAGGTCTGTGTTGTCCGTCTGTCTTGAACTCACGGGACTCTATCTGCTAAGCTTGTCTCCTTATTTTTCACTGTTAGGCTTTCTTAATTGCAGAAACTGCAGGGATTGGAGGTTTCTTTGAGAGCACCCTAGCAGAAAAGTGCTAACAGGTTACCTTTGTTACTAGCTGCACGCTCTGGTTCTAGCAGTGGTTTTGGGAGTAGTAAGTCCAGATATAGTTGGTGATCAGGGTTTCTTTTCTCAGAAGGATATATGGGTAAAAGTCTACAGCTGTTAATTTGATATTACACTTTGTGCAAACTTCATTTTGACTGCAGTTTTGTGGTATTTGCCAATTTCTCCTTTGAGATGATGAAATTCCAAATTTAAAAGCCAATGAATAAGGGATTGCAAGTTGTTTTCTTTTTCTTCTGTTTAAATGAAAACATATTGCCACAAAAGGATCCAAAAAAATCATTCCATTTGGAAAGTTTTGTAGAATCTGCTTAAATGTCAAGTGTTCTTGGAGTGTTCATCTGTTCTGTCCAGCTAGTCTCATGAGTGGAGCTCTGAATAGTCTGTGCTTAATGATGGGGCTGTTTGGGATTGCAGTGACAGAACTGATGTTTTGTCATGGTAGAGCACTGGAACAGGCTGGAGGTTGTGAAGTCTCCTTCTCTGGAGGTCTTCGAAACCTGCCTGGATGTTGCCCTGTGTCTCGTGCTCTGGGTGTCCCTGCTGGAGCAGGGGGGTTGGACTAGGTAATCTCTGGAAGTCCCTTCCAACCTGAAACATTCTGTGATTCTGTGATGAGGCTGTATCTATTTCATGCAGAACTATTAAGAACTGTGCCCAGGACAAAGAGACTTAATTAGACAATAAAACAAAAGCATGCAGAAGGGAGATGGAGTTAAGTGTTTGTTATCTCTGTGAATGCAGAGTTAAAAAATGAGCTAGTTTTATGATATGGTACTTGCTCAAGTGATACTGAAGATTTTTTCTGTTTTGACATTAACAGGAGATTATGGCACTTCATCTCTTTTTTTACTGAGGAAAAAGCTCTTCTGTAGCAACTCCTGCTGACACCAGCTGAGGTTTCCTATCCAACAATACGCAACTTCTAGTAGCTAGAAAAGAGAAATCTGAGATGCCCCAGTGTTAAAACCTGTGCTGAAGACATGGCTGGTATGCTGTAAACAAATATTGTCCCAGTAAAAGCTGTTCTTCCCACCCCAGTGACTTCAAATAATGAGTCATTTGGCATAATTTACATTGCTGTACCCAAGCAAACATAAAGGGAAACATCTTAATATCTTGTAGTACTCGTCATCAGCTGGTGTGTGGATAAATGGGTGTGTTGTGCTAATGAGAGCAGTTGCCCTGCAGCTTTGTAAGTGCTTCTGTGGTGTCAGGAAGGTGCTGGGCAGTTCCACCTCGCGAGCCACCCGTGTCACCCAACACCGGCTCTGCTGCTTCTGCCCCTGGCAGCATCGCTTACTGCTTTCCAGCCAGTCTTGGGCATTCTGCTGTCACAGAAAACGTCTGAAAATACTGCATTTATATTTAGGCTTATATGTAGAGGCTGAGCAAGCTGCTATATTTTTTTCCTCTGAGAGCTGCTGCTCTTCTGAACAGAAGTTCTCCACCCTTCCACTCTGGTTTCAGTCAGTCTAACTGGGTTGTCCAGGTGTGGTGTGTGGGCAGCTTTATATTGTTTAGAGCATTCCTTTGTTTAATGCATACTGTTTGTCTGAATATATTCATCTTTAACTCAGCATGTCCCAAGCTGTTTGAAGATCTAATCAGCTCTGTGACAAACTCCATGCTGGGGAATA